GATTTTAAATGGCAGACTTTCAAAGTTGAGATACTGAACTACCAATGCTTTGAGATTGTTTTCTTAAAAATCTGGACTGAAGATACCAAATGTCTTTCTAGATGTGTGGACAGAGAGAAAGCGGCAGAGTATAATTTGGTTATACAAGAAAATTCCTTCTTTTAACTTGCAGTAAACTGGCCACATTTCATCCTCAAAGTTAGCACCCAAAACAATTTGCACCTGACACCAGTCATCTGATCTACTCCCATCCATACTCATCACTAAGGCCAAAACTAGTTGCTCACCTCTGACCTTGCCGTCAACTGGAATGGTTCTTTCTCACTACGTACTGAACCTGTCCACAGCCATCTGCATCTGTAACTGGCTTCAAATGTCCTCCCTTCCTACTGACCTACTGATGAAATATTAGATTGGCCTTGTAACATTTATTTAAAAAAACAGGATTAAAAAATCGAATCCAGAAAAATATGCATTGTTTTAAAAAAACTTCAATGATATATGAACTATGTAAACAAAAGCTCATACTGGCAAACATAAAATGGAAAGATCAAAGCTCAGTAACAAATTAAAAAGGAAATTCAAATAATTAAAAAGGAAATAGTGCAAATGATAAAAATCCTTACATTTGGTATAGCACCTTATCACGTTGTTGAGACATGGCTTCATAGAATATATTGTAAAGTGGATCAACAGTGGATTTTATGGGCAAAATATTTACTGTATGTATAATTCTAATGCAATAAGATGCTTCCAGATTTAATACTGCAGGACAGTATAGCTTTCTCTATTATTTTAGATTGACGGCTTTCATGAAGAGTTTCGCAGACACCTTGCAGTGAAAGTAATTTCACTTCTGGCAGAACAGACCAATTCCACAGCACAAAGCACAGCCCTCATCAATAGGAAGCATGATTAGCACTTGGGAAAGATCCACATTTGGAGCCGCCATTCCCACCCTCCTGGCTGCAAGACAGAGGAAGACGGATAGACAATTAAACGTTGTTAAAACAAAACAAGATCAAGATGTAAAGATCTAGTAAATAGCAGATCATTAAATCACCTTGATTTACAGTTGTCACAGAATGCCGCAACTGACGCAACATTGATAGTCCTGAATCTTTCATAAAAAAACTGAAATTATTTTAACCCCTGATCAATTATAACATTGGCTACATGATAATCAGAATTACATTGTTTAAAACAGCCAAAGTAAGAAACATGCTTATTTCACGACAATGCAAGATATTTCTGGAGCAGTCCTAAGTGAGCAAGTAGGCAATATTGACCGGACTACAAAGCTTCACGTTTGAATGGAATGCAAAATGAGAATCTGAGCAATTATCCAGATATCAATGAAAAGAGCAAAATGAGAACAATTGTTCCAGATATCGATGAAAAGAGCAAGATGAGAAAACTTCAGGAAGGAAAGGTCAAAGATGTGACTAAACAATACAATTATAATAATCCTTACATTTGATATAATGCCCTATCACATTGAGACGTCTCAAAAACGCTTAACAGGATATAATGTTGAGTGGTATTGACTGTATATTTTGTGGGCAAAACACGGCAGCCAGTTGCACAATAAAATCCCATAAACAGCCATGGGCTAAGTTTAATTTTTATCTGGGAGATTGTTGGCCAGGACACCAGAAGAAACTTCCTTCTCTTTTCGAATAGTGTCATGAGATCTTGAATGTCCACCTGAACAGGCAGACAGGACCTCAGTTTAACTTCTCATCCGAAGCACGACACCTCCGACAATGCAACACACTCACAGAACTGCATTGGAGTGTCAGCTTAGATTATGTGACCCCCAATTCTCGAAGTCGGGCTTGAACCCACAACCTTCTGACTCAAGAGGCGATTGCCCTACCACTGAGCCAGCCAATCCAACACTAGGTTGGATTGTAACTGATGAGCCAGTTTAATCACCTTATAATACAAATCCAGCTGCCTATATGTCTTACCGGCCTCCAACCCACCCCACCCCCCGCCACACTATTCACGTTAAGTCCACATTTAATGGTTAGTTGCGTCCACTAAATTCACATAAGCTCTGAGCATGTGACTGAAATCCCACAAAATCCAGTTTATATGATGCCCTGGTGCCTTCTTTTTGATGATCATTAGTACCGATTAGCTTTCCATGTTACTTCTCAAACTTTCACTTCTTAAAATCAGCATGAAAGTGAGACACAAGGTTATGATACTTTGAGGGCATACTTACTATTTATGCTTTTACATCACTGATATATTAAGGAGAATCAGACTCAGGTTATGAGTGACTACTGTATCAGCCAGCTTCAGGTTTGTTTTTATAGGTTCTAAAATCACCCAAATTGCAAACATTTAGTAAGTGATTGCCAATCTACACTGAAACTATGATGAAGCACACAACATTTTTCAGTTTAACAAAACATTTATGTTGTTAATTTTAATCTTGCCATGACTAGTCACTTCAACTATCCCAAGGTTCCCATTCATTTTCAATAAATCCAATCCATGACGCATGTCTCCAGAAACATGCATCACCAAAGTGGACAAGGCAGAAGAAATCGGTCATAGCGCTGAAGAAACACAACGGTTTCTCATTGTGAAAATATACATCATTCCATCTATAACTAGGAGCACTTTAAACAGAAAGAACTCCTCTCTTGTCTCTAAGGTAATCGTTTTTCAGAAAAAAAGGAAACTGCATCCTCCAGTTTTTGGAGCGGGATGTGCACAAGGTAGAGTTAAAATCAAGTCCATTCCAATATCAGTAGAGTCAAAGTACCAACAGTGAATGAGGCAATTCAGACTTCCACTTTGGAACAAAGGAATGATTAAAATAGTAAATTTGAAGGCAGAAATTAGCCTTACTAATTAGCCTTAGTAATTTTAAGCCAATTTGCAATCTGGATAAAACATTAATTTGGGTTATTTAGCTGAAAACTAATCAGTCTGCAAACTTTGTATTAACCCAAAAGTTAATTTAAAGACATTTCCTAAGATATTTAAAAAGTTCAAACATCAAATTTATCCAACTTATGTGCTGCTCGGATTTAGATTTCTGTAACTGTACACATGTTTTCCTCCATATTGCTCCAAAAAGGATATCTTTGCCATCATTAATATACTCAAAATTTACATCCCTACTTTGACTCCATTACTTATGAATAGTACGTTACAATCATTTAGTAGTTTTAACGGCTTTACAGTATGATTATTGCAACCTCCTGCCAATCTGTAAAATAGGAAATCTGAAGAGGGGCCACTGAAATTTTAAATCCCATCAACTATAATGCTACAAAGAAAAACAATATCAGAGATGTGCAATAATGAGAATCTGCTGTACTGAGTCCAATCATCCAAATGGGCCCAATTTAAAATTTTGCTCCTCACAGCTGAATAAAGCAATCCTATATAAAGACAATTACTGGGAGGTTCATTTTGTGTTTAAATGGTAATATTTAGAAATAGTAAATGTGGCTACAGTGAAACTCTAATAACTAGCCCCTGGGATAAGCAGTCAACCTCACATAACTAGTTACTCAATATTCCAGCTATTCGAGTACTTTATATTTTTGAGATACTATACTTTGGATAACTAGTCAACTCTGATAAGTCGTCATTCAAGATATTTGGAGCCATGAGTTTCAGAGTTTCACTGTAATTCATTGTTCTGGCCCATTTCTAATGCACAGTTAATGTCCAATCGGTGTAGTTTCCATACTGAAAACTAAACAACGTTTATAATTTAAATCAAGTTTCTGAGGAATCAATTCAATTCTGAGTCCATTCTATATCAACTGCAGTAGAAAACAGATTTTGCTGAAGCTTCTTTCATACTTTTTAAATATTATTAAAGACTCTGATCCATTCCCATTTCTCTGTATATTAAAAAAATTGATCAGAGAAAGGTAGTTACTTCCTTTCCAGTCCATGATTTCTTGAGACATCCAGAAATATGCTAGACTTCCCTCTGCTTCACTGGTACAAAGTATTCCCGAAGGCCCACAAAGTTCAATGCCATTTGACACACCATGAAAAGACAATGGATCTAAGCTTATCTGACTTAAAGCTCCTTGAAATACATACAATATCATAATAGACACGTTGCAATATGCTCCTGAACTGCGAACACGCTGTAATAATAAATTGCCACATCTTCCTTGTACTATCACAGAAAAAGAACAAACTAAAGACGCATACACACAAGGGCACATCCCACCTTCTTTAATGATATTTTTTTTCTAAAGCTTCCAACAAATGGGTTTTGGGAAGTGAATTTTATCTCTGAAGATGTTATAACATTTTACATCCCAAGGATTGTCCAGGACCAGATCCAATTTTCACCGTTTAGAAATGAATTTACTCTCCCGTGCCTTTCCACATTATTTTTGTGAGACATCAGGACTTTGCTACATAATACTTTTGTCTAATATTCTATTCCTTTGCAACAATATGGTTTTCAGGAGTATGCTGAAGAACAGCAAAATCATAAGCATGTGTTGGCATGGTGGCGATGAGGATAGGTATCAAAGCCCTTCCAGTGGTACAAAAAGTACCAATAGGAAATCATCATTTGGGGTACAGCCAGTTAGAAGCAACAGGCAGAAATGTTCCTTTATCTATCTTCCACACACAAATATGGTACCGTCTCCCTTATCCACTTCTCCCACCGCAACTTACCTTCACGCGTTTGGAAGAAAACCAATTGTCAAATTTAATACAACAGAAGTACTCCCAGTTTCCGGCTAACACAGAAGAAAAAAANGCAGTAAGCAAAATGCTCTTTCAAATCAAGTTTGAAGCAGTTATTTCGCCCTAAGTGAGAAGTCTGCTTATGTAGTAAGATAAGAAATAAGGAAAGGCTAATGTTTCACAAGTTATTTAAAGCAATTCTGAAAATTTGAGTCTATATAAACACTGAGAAATACTACAGGAGTTTATTTGCGTTTTTTTATTTTGTTTTTAAGTGTCAAGCACGTAAACATGTCGAATCAGCTTACTTCGTCCACAGTATGGCTGTCCAGGTACAAACTCTGCTGCATTAACCCAGTCTTCCAGGTTTGAGCTTGCAGTTGCAGGGTTGGATTCCTCAATCACTGTTGTTTTTGTGCTCATTTCACCATTTAATTTGGTAAGCGGAGTTAGTTTGGTGGTTGATGCGGTGGCAGAATCCTTCAGGATCAATGGCTTTGGACCACTCTGAATCTCCGACAATCCTTGCTTTGACGGCATCACGTGGTCATACCTGTATATCAATTAGGGATGTTACAATTAATGCAACATCATAAAACCTGTGATAATACAACACAACTGAGCTAAAATTCCCAAAGATTTCTCAGATCATAAATAGTAACACTGACAGACCAATATGGAAAAGAAGGCAGAAGAATTCTATAACAGCAACAATAAGATTACATTTGTATAGCGCCTTTCACGTCGGGAGGATGTCCCAGGGCACTGGACACTGTACAGACTTTGAGACCCGAGTTGGGGTCGGGGGGGGAGAAGGGAGGGGAAGGGGGGTGGCCAATGACATGGTCGAGGAAGAGGGTCTTGAGGCGGGACCTGAAGGAGGCTAAGGATATATATTGTATATTATATACCATATAATGGCTCAATTCCAACATGGTGAGTCACTGCCAAGTAACAGCAGAATACCACAAAAGTATGAAGAAAAAGTACACAAAACATATCTGTCAGTATAAACTGGAATTACAAATTAAATCAGTTTACCTTATCCGATTTGGAAATATGAAATACAATATCAAATACAACCAAAAATATGTTGCCCAATAGGGTATCTTGGTGTTAAAAGAAAATGCTTCACAGCAACACTATTAGGTCTAAAACAAGTGTAAAAGTATTGAATAAATGGACGTCTTTTCAATTGTGCTCTATTGAACAATTCCGAAGCCTATACTAGGTCACTTGTTAATACATTAAAAATAAAGATTGGTACAATATTGAGACTGCTAATGATATCTGAGAATTACAACTGTATCAACACAGTCAAAGTCACATAAGTAATATCAGTAGGGACAATAACATGAAACATAGTCTTATGCAAAGTCCACGTCCAGGCAAACAGTATAAGTCATATAAATTCTGATTTAATCAATAATCTATACTGCAATGCGGTAGTTCATCACTGTAGCCGGCAGGTGCGCACATGATGACAGGTCAAGACTTAAGTTTCACAAGTTTTAATGTGTGTTGACCCATCACCGCTTGTGCGTTTACCAGCATCGTGAGAATTGAGGGAAACTTCTGTGCATGTGTTGACGGATCAAGGCTATGTTTCCATCGATTCAATGTAGCTGGCTGGTAGGTGCGCATGTGTCAACATCATTTCCCGCTATTCAATAGAGACTTAACCCTGGGAGTAAGAGGATAGGGGGCGTAGAGTTACAAGTTAGGAAGTGATTAATATGACTAGTGCAAAGAAATCGAAGTGGTTTGATAGGAAACTGAATGGGATTCGGGTGGACTATTCCAGAAAATCCTTTTTCTTTTCCAATAGTGCCATGGGATCTTTAACGTCAACCCAAAAAGACAGATCTCACCTCGGTGCAAATAATAATACTTGTATTTCGTATAGTGCCTTATCATGTCTTCGACATGTCTCAAGCGCTTCACAGAATATACTGCAAAGTGAATTGACTGTATATTTTGTGGGCAAAATGCGGCAGCCAATTGCACACAACAGTGCCCCACACATTTGGGACTGAGTAACCAAATTATTATTACTACTATTTTTGTGAAGGAATTATCACCCCCAGAAAAGCGATCCACTAATTGACTAACACTGGGTTCCTAGTTAATGTTAGGTAAACAGAGGCGTGTGGAGTAAGGAAACTTGCCCAACATTTCGCCCTGCAGGGAATCGAACCCAGGTCTCTCGCTTGCCAGATGAGTGCTCTAACCACTAAGCTACAGAACTTCACTTCAAATCTATAATGTTAGTTATCCTTACGAGACACAAAGAGAACAAAGGTTAAAGAGTTAATATCCGATAGTTAAGATTTACAGAAACATTTGTCGTCTTTTCAATAATCTGATGCAATTGGTTACTGTTGGTAATCATTAATCCAGCAACAGGATAATTAATTTGCCAGATCAGATTTCAGATGTTGGGCAAAGTGAGAAGTGTATTTTGAATCATATGCAAATAGTCAGCACTCAACCCAAATACTAGTTGTGCTGGGCTGAGCTTTATCCATCTATTACCTGACCAACAATTGGCAATACAACTGGCCCAATGAACCAATATTATACTACATTCCTGCTGCCAGCAGATTATAAACTGAATAATCTTATTCATGTCCATGTTAATGCCATTAAGTTGATTTATCGATTCTAGTGTCTGGTAGGTCAATGGTTTATTTTTAATGGATTGGAAAAAATATTTCAATAAGCTGGAGTTCCATTTAGTCCAATAAGTGATTTTGAAATCAGAAAGCATATTTGACCAGGAAAGTGCTGTGATTTTATTGGAATTGTAAATGAGAAGAGGAGTCTATGGGGAGGGGAGCACTTCAAATACAAACTCTTTTACAGATCACACATTTGGAGAACAAGTTAAAACTCCAACCTTTAAAGGTCATGATTTGTACAGCTGCATTTTTACCCCAGGGGAAACCCAATGTTTTGTGTTAGTTACAGATCTTAGAAGCACTTGGTTGGTGCTAAACCACAGCAGACAGGATTAACATTTTTAGATTCCTCAATGTTAATCTTCATCAGGCATTCCATAACCAGTCAACTCTAACATAATTGATGATCTAGCTCAGGGTGATCCAATGTTTTGGCTGCCGAGGAAAAACTTCCATAGGCCACATAAGCAATATTTTTGTGTTTCCTTTCCAGAACATAACAATAATTACACAGCATCTTTGTCACATCAGAAGGACACCTCAAAACACTGAGCACTGTGGCTGGGCACCAGAGCTGGGGGTGGGAGCTGAGGAAGGTGGGATGGATAGGGGAAAAGATGACCAAAAACGTGGTCAAAGAGTTAGGTGTTGACATGCCTTGAAAGAGAGGAGGGAGGGAGTGAGTTGGAGAACTCCAGGAATGGGGGCAAAATGGCAATGATGGGGCTGAGGAGGACAATAAGCAAGCCAGTGTTTGCTGGGCAAAGGGAAATGGTCAGGCCAGGAGACTGCAGAGGTTTTGGGTGGGGGTTGGGGGGAAATGAATGATGTAGAGGAGTTTCATACTGGGAAAAAGGAGGAGTTTTCTGTGAGGAAACTGCCTGTCGCTCGGTATGTCCCTCTGGGCTCCCCCTGCCTCCTTGCCCTCCTCAACCTCTCTGCTCCCTTTGACACTGTCGATCACTCCATCCTCTTACACCGCCTCTCCTCCTTACTTAATCTTCGCAACCTGCCCTTGCCTGGTTCGATTCCTGTCTCTCTCACCGTCTCCACTTTGTTGCCTCTAACGGTTTCTCCTCCAGCCGCCCACTGTCACGTCTGGCGTCTCCCAGAGCTCTGTCCTTGGCCCTCTCCTCTTTAATATCCATATGCCCCTCCTTGGTGACATAATCCGCAGACATGAGGTCAGCTTCCACACGTATGCGGATGACACCCAACTCTATCTTTCTGCCTCCACCTTAAACTCCAGGACCACTGCTGTCCTGACAGACTGCCTGTCGGACATCAAGTCCTGAATGAGGGCAAATTTCCAACAGTTGAATGCAAACAATGCAACAGTTGACTGAGGCCCTCTCAATTGGCTCACCTCAGCGCCTCTGCACCTCAGGCTCTGGCCACATCAACCTCCATAGTTGAACACTTCAACTCACCAAGCCAGTCAGGAACCTAGGTGTCTTGTTCGACCCTCAACTGTCTTTTCTTCCCCACATCCAAGCCATGACCCGTTCTGCCTTCCCTCACCTCCGTAACATCGCCCGACTCCGCCACTACCTCACCCCTCAGGCCACTGAAACTCTTTTTCATGCCTTCATCACCTCCAGGCTCGACTATGCAAACGCCCTGCTTGTCAGCCTTCCCAACTCCTCCCTCCACAGACTGCAGATAATCCAGAACTCTGCAGCCCGTGCCCTCTCCCGCACCAAACTCCGTGACCCCATCTCCCCCACTCTCGACCGACCGACTACGGCTTTTCCTCCAGCCCCCGTACTGTCTCGCGTGGTGTCCCTCAGGGCACTGTCCTCGGTCCCCTCCTCTTCACCCTCTATATGCTCCCCCTTGGTGACATCATCCACAGACATGGGGTTAACTTCCACATGTATGCGGATGACACCCAACTCTACCTTTCCTCCTCTACCCTCAACTCCACGACCACCGATGTCCTGACAGCCTGCCTGTCTGACATCGAGTCCTGGACGAGAGACAACTTTCTTCAGCTCAACGTGCGTAAAACTGAGGCCCTCCTGATTGGCTCACGTCAGCGCCTCCGCACCTCAGGCGCTGACAGCATCAGCATCCAAGGCTGCACTCTCCACCTCTCAAAGCCAGTCAGGAACCTCGGCGTTCTGTTCGACCCTGAGCTGTCCTTTCTCCCTCATATCCGCGCCACAACTGGCACCGCCTTCTATCACCTCCGGAATGTCGCCAGACTACGGCACTACCTCACCCCTCACGCTGCTGAAACCCTGGTCCACGCCTTTATCACCTCAAGGCTGGACTATGGGAACTCTCTCCTCGCCGGCCTTCCCGGCACCTCCCTCCACAAGCTGCAGGTCATTCGGAACTCTGCAGCTCGTGTACTGTCCCGCACCAGGCTTCGGGACCACATCACTCCCACCCTCGCTCGCCTCCACTGGCTCCCCATCCCCCAGAGGATCGAATTCAAGATCCTCATCCTCACCTACAAGGCCATTCACAGCCTTGCTCCCTCCTACCTCTCCAACCTACTATCCTCCTACTTACCTGCCCGTACCCTCCGTTCCTCTGGCTCTGGTCTGCTCCATATCCCCCGCCCCGAACCCCCTACCATCGGTGGCCGGGCCTTCAGCCTCTCAGCCCCTAGACTCTGGAACTCCATCCCCCAGTGCCTTCGCCTTGCCTCCTCCCTTTCCTCCTTCAAGGCCGGTCTCAAGACCTTTCTCTTTGACCGTGTCTTCAGCTCCCCTCTCGACTCTCTACCCCCTCCTCTCTCCCTCCCTTCCCTCCCCTCACCCTGACCATTTCCCCCTGCTCGGGTCATGACCCAACTGTGCAGCACCTTGGGACGTCCTCCTGACGTGAAAGGCGCTTTATAAATGGAATCTTGTTGTTGTTG